TGCGCTGTCCGAGAGAAAACGAAAACAAGAATATGATTTACTCGTTCCTAGATCTACTTGACATACACGTTGGTACATCCAGTCGTTTCTCTTGAATTGGGAAGCGCTTGATTATACTTTTTTCTCGTTAAACTACTCAATAAACCCGAAGTCAAAAGAGAAATGTGAACAAACTGTTACTCAGTTATTAGGGTTATTAATATTCGGACACATTTTATCTATAATAAAACGTGTGGTATAGTTCTGATCAAGAAAAGTCATTCCAAAGTGTACTCTTATTATTTCCTCTCACCATTCCCATGCTAACAAGTTTTTATTGTTTCTTTGAACTCATAACAATACAGATGAACAATTCTGAAACGTAAGATCATGCATCTGCAAGTTGGGCAATCCCTTTGTCATCTAGCCGATAAGTCAACCATCCCTCTTTGGACAAATCGATGAAGGGAGCCTGTTCATAATTTAAAACATAGAACAATTACGATCGAAGTCATCAATACCATTTTGTAAAATTCAATAGCAGGCTTGTTCCAGTCCAAAACATTCCATTGTAATCTTTTGCACCCTCGAGACTTCGCGATCTTTAGAAATTTGATAAATTGCCATAAGAACCATCAGTGTGTTTACTTTTGACAATTCGGCCCAGAGACGATTGCCAATGCCCCTACGTCGAAAATCTCGTTTGATGTACAAATCTTCCATATGGATATACTCAAAAAGGAAAATTTGAATCTATTTTCAAAGCAAACCTGTCCTTGCCAAGTTGAGTATGCGAAATAATATAAAATCATTCCTACTGCTACTTCCATATCATAAGCCAACAAGCCACTACAAGCCTCGCTTTTCAAGTCCTCTGCCAGTTTCTGTTCTGTGAGTTCAACAGAGTCAGCCATTTTTTCGAATTCAGCTAGTTCCTGAGTATTCGAATAGAATTAATAGATCAATTGAACTACTTACGCGAATCATTCCCAAAATAATAGAAGCATCTTTATCAGTTGCTGGACGGATCGAAATCATTTACTTCTGAAGAAAGAAATATGAACGCCACTCTGATATTGTGATTCGGAAATCAAAAAAATAAATAAATCGATTGTTGACAATACATATTGATTCAAATTCTTGTCTTGTTTTATCATGTAAACAGCGCACCAATAATATCCTCATTACCAAGTAGGAAACTTTTTCCGTGGAGATTACACTTAAATTCTGCGAAGACAAATACTTTTGAAATGTGTCGAGTTATCTGATTGATTCGTTGTGACTTCATCAGTTCCAAGGCTTTTAATCATTGATGACAACAATCAAATGTCTTGTGATCGCCGATTTCCTAACAAGAGCGCATAGCTGTTGATGAAAGCGATATCTCAATTAACTAAGAGGGTCCTGAGACTAGACTTTTCCACCATCTCCAAGAGTTTTCAATAGTTTCAGGTCATTACATCCTTCTAATATCGGACATAAAATACAAGAGAAGGTTGTAAATGTCAAACCCAAATCAACATGTGACCAATTGAACTAGCCTATAGTTTATGGGGATATCCCACAGAACTCACGTACGCAATCATAACCGATGAAGAACAATCCATCATCTACCAAGTTCAGTTGGTACACAGGCAAAGAAAATAGAGAAATTGAAGTTCCTTGCAGAGAAGAAACTCTGAAAAGACGGCTTGTTAGAACCTGCCAAGAGCATTAACTTACTTCCATCAAGTTATTGAACTACGTGATCATCCTCACCGTGAACAACGTTCACCTGTTCTGGGACGGCAAGATAGATGAATTTTTATAAAACTTGTGTCTTCCGCGTCACAGATGACCGCTTCTCCAAGTGTATAATATGGGAAAACACGTGAAAGACTCAAAGAACGACCATAAAAATCATTGGTTCTTATCAGAAGTCGTTCGGAATCTGTGTGTATTGTGATGATACGTAAGATAGTCGCGTACCCAATTGATGTTATCAAAAAGCATATGGAATCCACCTCGCCGCACATTCTGAACCCTAGTTCTCAGAAGGCTTCAAGTGGGGACACAATGTTTCCATTCAATGCTTTTGTTGAAACAGCTAATTGACAAGCAAATGACAAAACAAAGCGTTTTGATTTTTGGATTGCTCCTAGTCTGAAGACAATTCTTCTCAACCTTGTCTTCTTACAAAATATTCAAGTTTGTAGACCAAGCCAATGAAAACAAGAGGCATTGTAACAATTACATATTTTATATATATGCATGTCTTGATACAACAAATGCCCTATTCTTTGGAATAAGATCGACATTTCGATTGACTGTTGATTTATCGTACAATACACTTAGGTTTGCATTTAGTAAAACTCAACGCTTCTCCCATTCAACACGTAGTCATTGGCATCAAGCACTCGTCATCATAACCGGTTCGCCTCCGATTTATAAAACATATTTTCTTTTCTTAATCACATGTTCTCGACATATTATTGACCATTCAATATTTCCACGAAGGGCAAAGTTCGACCAGAACCCAAAAATACTTAAACTGCAGAGAGAAAAAACGTTGATAACCACCGCCAGTTTCATAGTTTCAAAAAAGCTTCACAGAAAACGCACAAGGATAAAGAATTGAAGTACTCATAAATGAATTCCACTTTTGAAATGGTGAAAAATTGAAGAGAAGAGATAATGAATCATTGACAAGTCCACCGCTGTCTCGTATGGGGTGAGCAACAAGAAATCGTAGGTTTCAGCGCTGTTCGAGAATTTTTAGTAAATTATGAAACGGGAGACTTTGAATGATCATCAATAGAACATTCATCAACGAATTGTCTCGTTGCGAAATGAAGAAGGGAATGACATAGAACAATTCTGACTACAGATGAAGTGTTGTAAACATTCCAGACACATCTAATTTAGCTGAAGAAGCTGAACAATGATTTTTAACAGTACAATAGTTGAAATGATCGAAATACCCCTGCAAACTGTGGTTCTAAACTTGATATTTTTGAAAAATTTGTATCATCTTCTTCACCTATATATAATGCTGATTATTGAAAGCTGTCAGCATACTGAGAGAATGGAATTGAACAATAGAAAAATTTCATATTGATTGGGACTTCTGATCGTTCACACTATCAAGCAACGTCAAGCAAGCCAATAGGGAAGGTGCGGGGGAACCCACAGGGCCACCCTAAGTGTCCCGCCCCTCAAAACACAGGCCCATATAAGGCGCAGTTGACGAACAGTCGCACCTTTACCTTTAACTCAGCTGGCCATCGCCCGCATCTGCATGGGAAATCGTGTTGTCGTACTATGCTAGTTAGCCTCGAAAAGAGACACAGTTCACCACATTCCGCAAAACTGTCTACCGGTAAGTTCAGGAATGAAAAAAAACCGTTGAAAAAAACTGAAACAACAATGCATAATTTAGAAGCTCCACCAGCTCACCCCTGTGACTCACCTATTGCTCAATCCATCTGCTCTGATTGGATTTCTACCTCCGTCATCTGTTTCGGAGTTTGTGAATTGACCATTCGCGTTGCCACTGCGCATCTAGCCTGTTGAACGAAAACTCATATATCGTAAGTTTCATCGATTACTTCCTTTTTCTTCATATTAACATAACATGAGCATGCAGAAATCGTTTTGTTAATGAGGAAATTAGCAATGTCATGTACTTAAATAACTAACGGTGATACACATTACACTAAGAAAAAAAGTCACATCACATTGCCTTTTAAGTCCATCATCGTTATCGACAATGAAAAAGTTGATGATCACCAAATTTTCTGTTTCGCCAAAGAATAACAAGAAAATTGAAAAGGCTGACTATTTTGGAATTTTTTGCAAAAATCCTGGAATATAGACAAATATCCCATTATCGTACATATGATATTTCATCTATATTCTAAACGTTTAGATGTCTGCAATTCCTTTTATGAGTAACGCCTATCACACCCAGCAACTCAGATCCTGCGTAGAACAAGAAAAGGTTGGCAACATTTTCAAGTTTCATAGCATAGTCGGCTTTGCAGAAGGGATCGAAGCCTTTGGGTGTAGCCGCAACAACCATGGCTGCTTTCACAGAGTCTCTACGACTTGTTGATGATCAAATCAGCAGATTGCAACCTCAGAAATTATTCATCAGTCAGTTTTTCTTCTGGAGCTACGCTCCTACTCATATTTCATTTTTAGACGTTGACACGGACAATATCCTGGAAAATGTTAACCATTTCATCAGCCGGCACTAAAGCCCAGGATTCAAAAAGATTTGCTCTCGTCTTGCTGTCTTTTCATTGTAGAACTTTCATAAATGATTCAAACATGTTGAGGGGTACACACCGAGCCCATATGATGACAAAGAAAACATTTTATGAACGTTTATTAAGAACGGGAAAAAGAGGAATGGGAATGATACAGTTAACCAAAAAATAACAAAACATCATGAGAATACATTATTAGTTAGGTGACTTCCGCTGAAACACTACATATCACAAAAAACAAAACTTTCTTACATACCTCGTCTTCAGAATCTGTATCATTGTCTTGATCTTTTTCGTCATCGTCCTTATCCCTGTTATCTTCATCTTCTCCTCTTTCCTCAGTTACTTTAGTCTTATCGTTGATGTCTTCTTCTTTATCTTTTTTATCTTCTCCCTTAATTATTTATTATAAATTTCTACTATTCCTCCCGTACATCATAAAGATCATGAGTCCACATCCCATCAGCTTTCGAAGGTTCCCGATAACTTTTGTTTGGTCTCGGCTTTAATTTACAAATAATAAGATAGGAACTCAAGGAACTGTTGAAGCTCACTTTATCTCGACTTTGCCAGTCCTTATCATATCGATTTTGTCTTTCATTTCTTCGATATCCGTAAATTTCCCCTCGCCGTTCACGACGTGGACCGAAATCTATGCGAGGATCATAAGCATTTCTCCCCCTCCAGCGATCGTCGCCTCCTCTGTCGTCATGCTAAAAATAGACTACTTTAAAAGATTAAAGAGTTATCACTGACGGTAAAGAAAGCTTTGGCTCTCGGTACTGCTGTAGGATCAACCAAAACTTGGACAGGCTTATTGTCGGATTCCCTGAACAATCCTGCAAAACATTAGGTTACAGAGACATCATAGGACATGGATTTACCATTTTTCTTATCATCATGTTCATCACTTCTACGGTCATTTGAATACGACAAACGATTGCGGATCCCTCTAACAGATTAAAATAAGTAATCTTAATCTTTTGATAGCAAACCTTCTGTTATTATCTGGAAAATTTCTTCTATTATCATAGCGATTTCCTCCTTGGTAATTTCTCCCATTCCCACTGCAACAGAATTATATTAATGGGAGTTCTTAGAAATGCTAACCGATCGTTTATAGATCCTCGATCACGGTCACTTTTAGGATTCGAAAAACTCTATAAATCAATTCACAGGTATTTTAAAGCACGACAAGGAATCTGAACATTGCAAGAAGTCCAATTCTTTTCATAACAGAGTTTAACAAAAAAATAACTTGCCCTACATCAAAACAAAGAAATATTAAAAACATACGCTATTGTCATTTCTGGGTTTCTTCTCTCTTCTGCCTACAAAAATTGATTCTTAATCACAGAACGAAATCGAAATACTTACCTGAGCCTAGTGAAGCTAACGCTTCGGGATCAAGCATGTTAACCGGAGCACTTTTGTGTGATCTAACAGGAGATCGTGAACGAGATCGTTTCCTTCGAGAGTCAGACATCTCTACAAACATATATATGAGCTTCGACACTAAACTTAATGGCAATCTAAAGAAGACGACAGTATAGTAGACGCTTAACGAAAATGGCATTCTTACAATGATGCTACGAGGCCGCGTCTGTTGTTAAACAGCATGCATACAATGCAGTGTGGATAATTATTTGCATGAAAACTGTATCTTTCTACGGAAACTTCTACAATTTGACTACTTCAAACAGAACACGATTTTTTAAATGAATCTTCTTTAATATAAAATCAATAAATCGAACAAATTATGTAGAAATGAAAAGAAATCAGCACACGAACAAGCTGAAAGAATCACGTGGGTTGCCACGGAAGGATCTAAATTGAAAATAATCACAGAAATCGCTTTATTTTCAAAGTCTGGACGAGGTCAATTAATTGATTAAGTAAAGTTTCTCAGAGTTTAACTATACTCAGCGTTTATACAATGAAGTTCTTCTCTACTTCACTTATAAAACTCGTAAAAGTCCTTCAGGGAAACCTCCACTGAATAATTGTTTCAATCTTTCCAAGTTTTCCTCATCTGCTCCAATTGCTGCTCGAATCTCCGTTTCCAAAGTGTCATAATCAGATAATACCTATGTGTGTTCAAACGATAAGCTTTTTTTTATTTTGATGTTACCTCAACTATGGAAGTTTTTTTTTCTGGCTCCTCCTGTGAATCCGAGATTTCATCAGCAGTTGGTTGTCGGAATTCCGATCTAGGGATAGAGAAAAGAACATCCTTCTCCTCAGGTGGAATTAACTTCTCTTTGATTCCTTCTGTTGTTGTTGTTACGTTTAAAGGATCAAATAATCGATCATTAACATTCTCAGGGTCGAGCTCTTTAGGTTCTGTTCTTTCTGCTGAGAGATCTTCAATAATGGTGGCATTACTGAAGTCGGGAGAATTAATGAATGTCTCCATAGATTTTTCGGCTCCGAGCACGTCGAAATCCTCTTCAAGATCAAGAGGCTTTCCTGTAACTATACCATCTTCCATATCATCGAAAACTCTGCTTTCGAAAGCGAATGCTGCTTCATTTAGCCCTTCGATATCATCAGATGGCGCACCACCTCCTTCAATATTATCCTCATTTATTCCTGTCTGAAGCAGCGATAGTTCTCCTTCTTCATGTTTACTCAAATTTGGCATCGTATTATTGTCGTCAATTTTCAGTACTTGATCAGTAAATAATGCTGTTTCTGGAACTGTTGTTGTACTGTTTTCAACAACATCTAAGTCACTCGCTTCCAATACTTTTTGCTGAGAACCATTGTTTGTTTCAACAACTGTACTATTGGGAGAAGAAGGTTCCAATTCTGAAGAGTTGGAATCGTTTGATGGTTCGTTATCCACATCTGTTCTCATCAAGAGACGAGTTATGACTTCAGAAGATTTTCCAACATGAAGTTGCAAACTTTGTGAGAATAGAGGGGGTCTGTCTTCAGTGATGTCTGGCTTCACTTGAATAGTCAGGTTTGTTGGCCTTGTTCTATAATGACATCATTACAAGTTCAGTATATAGCAAAATGAAACATATACCTAATCGGCTGACCATCTTCGATTAATGTAAGTTTGGACATTTTCAAAAGATCCAACAAACTTTTTTTCTCATCATCATCTTTCACTCCTGTTTCATTACTATTATTTAAGTCCAAAAATGGCCGATCGTTAATTGTTGCAATATGCTCTTTCATTATGGTCACTTCGGTCAATGGATTTGTATCATTAGCTTCATCATCTTCCGTATCTCCTGTAACTGTCGCTGTTCCATTCTCTTTCCTATCATCATTTCTGAGCGAACTGTCAATTGTGACTAATTTGGAATACCTAAAAATAACGTCATTGACAGTCTTTTGTGATTCTTTTTTCTTGAGTAAAACTGATTTTCATCACAAAACTAACGTCCAACTAGCAGCGTAACGAGCATTTCGTGGTCTTACGGCGCAAATCAGTGAAAATAGTGAAGAGGGTAAAGAAAACCGTTCATCAAGTCCATTAACATCGCTTGGAACTGAGCGATCAATGATTGTCACACCCTACTATGAAGATTAGCTTTATAAATTTTGAAATCCCACTTTGTCTTGAAGATGATCCTGCAGCTCACAAATGGTATCATATGTTTTGTTGTCGGAATTTTCATTCCATCTTAAGGGTGTTTTCCATCTAAGTCTTACGATATAAACAATTAATGGATCATTTGAAGATCTGAATTACGTCAATTTTGAAATATATCACACAAAATAATCAACAGCTCACTTTTCCTGATCAATATTGGTCACATTAATGCGTAAACGCCCAATGCTTGTAGGAGGTGCATGTTCAGAATCGAACTCATAAACAGTTTGGCTGTTCAACTGAAAAACTATTATGAAAAAAGTTTAGTTGGTAGCTGAACTCACATTAACTGCTTTCCAATTAACAGAATGTGAATTAAAGAATAAATTGACGAAAACGAAGAAGAATAACATGGGTGATTTGTAATCTAACTGATGATAGCAACGATGATCATCAGGTACCCCAGTACACAAGGGAAAGAAGAATAAGAGTCGGTGAAAAGAGAGATAGACCTTGTTCGTTTCTTGTTGTTATTGTTGTTTGCCAGGCGATAGACGCTAAAATTGGTTGAATATTATCAGAATCAGATCAATTGATACCACACGGTCCTTTTTGTCCGTTTGATCCAATTTTTGAAGTTGAAGAAATGAAATCAAACATGATGTTCTTTGTAAGAGAACAATGAGGGCGTTACCTTTTTGAGTTGCTGAGGTTCATACTCGAGGTCGCTGAAGGCAGATAGTTTTTGATAAATTCTAGAATGACAAGACAACTTTATAAACTGTTCTGTCTACTGGAGCATGTAAGATGATTATCTTAAAATTTGAGAGAAGTTTGAAGACTTCATCATTATTTCAGTTCATTCAGATTTTTCTTTTCAACTTCCTGTTTCTTATTCAGTTGTTTTTGAAATTAAGGTTCTCTTATCTCTCAAAAATAATCGCGATGTGTGGAATTCGTTGAAAAAAGGCTTTGTTCGGACCCTCTTGCGTAAAACAAAAAGTTAAAGTTGATAGTCTTTCGTGTTATAAAATCAATAGCAAATGACAAGTTTACGAGGATATCCAACATGTCATAAAGCATTCCTAAAAAGGAAATAAAATCCTGAAGCACAGAAAGAACACACAGCTGGCTTCAGCAGTCAAACCTGAAAGGCTTTACAGCTGCCGTAGCTGTTCGGAGTACTGGTGACCTGATGTCTTCTTTTCGTTCAGCATAATCTTTACGTTTTCCATTAACGATATCAATTTTAATGTAATTTTAGTTATACATGTGCTAGAAACATATAATTAGACCGTTAGGATAGATTTTGGAAGATTGACTGTCAGGTCACCCATAATTGTTGCTTTTTACACCTCACTCATCTATTATCAGCAAGAGAAACATCTTATTTCCAGATTGTCGTCCATGTACCATCAATCTGCTATTCGCTGAGTGCGTCTAATCTGTTAAGATCCCAATTTAGTTATAACCAAATGAGTTGAACCAGAAAATTCTTACAGTATTTACTTTTTAGGACCATGCCCAACTACGAACAGGCGGATAATGTCATCCTTCTTTCTCATCCATAATTCATTCCTATTTTGCTACCCGTCAGTTATTAATTTGTATCTTGGATGAATAATTCTGTTTGCATCCCTTCCCAGCCGAAAGAAGACGTTGCTTCCTCTGCCTTAAGATTCCTTCGTCTTTCTATCTAATTCTCTAACGGTTTCCATATTATTTTCTTTTTATGCTGCTTTTGAACAACAGTACGAGGAAGAATTCCATCTTTGACAAGTCGAGGCTTCTTTCATCCACTTTCTTCTTCACTTGAACAAGTTGTCAAAAATAGATAGAAAGTTGTGAAAATAACATACAACGACTACGGTAGGATGTACTTGCAGCTGGAAAGCCACGGCTTTAAACCAGAGCACTAATTTTAAGAATATTTTTCCTCTTTTAACACGAAGTCCGATGCATCTCACCTATATTCTTGTTAAAGGTTTTCATGAAGAACTCTGAGGGCAACATAGCTGATTGTATATTGTGTTGTGAAAATTTTTAATAAATTTGGTCATCAAAATATTTGAAACGAGACAAGTGTGTAAAATTATGAATGATGACATGAGCAAAAATGACGTTTCATATTTGCTCAACAGACGTCGTCAGTCATATCTAAGACTTCTACAAGATGCGAGAAGCTGCAGACTGTCATGTACATTTCTCATTATATAATTACTTAAAATGGGAGCATACTAGGTCATGAAGAAACATGTTGTTTCTCCATATTTATACAGTTTCTCTCTCTCTCAAATCTGCATGCTCTATCTCCTTCTGCTTTCTCCTTATGGACACTAAAAAAAGTAAATGCGCGAATGATCGCCAGACGAAGATGATGTGTAGTAAGAAAGAAGTAAAAATTCGAAAGAGCAGATGGTATCAGTTAAAACTGGAATGGCAGAAGCTTTTAAGAAATACTATTGTCGAGCAGTCTGGCAGCTATAACCTGAAATTATCTGGTCAACTGACCCCAATTGGTGATGCTCGTTTTAAGTGACATCTCTTAAGCAGATTAAGCTCCATCACTGGAATTCTGAAGTTAAAACGTTTGTGAAGAGCAGAAGGAGTTAAGAAACTTTATGAGAAAAGCTTTTGAAATGGCTCATTAACTATTCCACTAATTACCGTATACGGTAATGAATAGCTACATGTTTCTTGCTTCAAAACTTCTCCTCTAAAATGGTTCACGAACCGTAGTGGTCATGGATTGAAACTTTGATTTTGAAAGTGTCAAGCTTATCTTACAGATTAGAGGGTGGGTGAGAGAAAACACTTACTTAATCCATGACTCCTGATCTGTTACTTAATGAAATTTGGTAAAAAATGAAAGGTATAAGGGATGTTTTATCAACTTCTGTGAAGCTTCTACCGGTTTTAGACGGATAAGTAGGATTGATCTGTTTTATGTCTGCTCCTTCTCTACGATGAAATACATGTAAGCCTGAGAAGAATAACAAGAAGAGAAAGAGAGTCAAAGAGTGAGGGAGAATAATAAAAAAAGCGAAAGAGAGAGTAAAGAGAAGCATAGAAAGGAATCAAATCTGATGAAAAAGCTGGAGCTAGAAGGCAGTTGAATGAACTATCCTGCCGTTTTCGTGCCTTCGTCTAATCTTCGTAATGGATATGCTCTTGCTTTGTTCTCGAACTAATAAGACAGAGAGAGGAACGAGGGAGGTAAGAGGGAAGAGTGATAGACTAAGGGAGAGGATGGAAAAACGGAAAGCAGCAGACAATATATCACGAACAGATAAATACTCTTTTTTCTTATCTCTTGCTTCAGTTCCCTCTTGATTCTCTCAAACTATTTACCGTAATTCCTATTGGGCTGTTGACTCGTTTTTGCTTTTGTGGCTCTCTTGCAGTCTCTACAAGACTAACGTTTTCTAAAGTCTTTCTGTAATAAGAGAACCATAGAAGCAGAGAGATAGAAACATCGTATAAAAACAATAGAGAGCGAGAGCATTTCCATATATGAGATATAGCTATTGAAGGCTTGAGCTCTTGTTAGTCCTGCCAGTAGGCGGAGTTTACCCTGGCCCCGGAGGCCTGCTCATGATTCTCAACGTTGAACTACTCAAAGTATACGTAGGTTCTTGTATGATTGTTCTGCCAAGTAAAGTGAAATACTGTTTCTCTTCTCTAACTTCTCCTACTTCACCATGCAGTAATGAAGTCATCTTAACTTTTCCATTATGCTTCCTGTTTTGTGATTGCTTCCTCATGCTGGAGAGCGAGCTTGTTTCTGATTTTTCATCTTTCTTAGATTTTCATTTCTTCAGTTGTGGTTGCATTTTGCTCTATTTTAACCTTTCTTTCAAATATTAAGCCTTTTTATAAGGTTTCTTCCCTCATCCTTCTTACCTCCGCTCCAAATGAATCCTTCGAGCAGCTGGACTATCTGAGCTCCGTTCCGTGTCCAGCAAAACAAAATTTTTGATTTCTTACTTCCTTAAAATTGTTTCATTGTACTAAATGAGAAAATTAAACATACCATCTCAACGTGTTATTCAGATATCAAATAGAGGCTTGATGGTTCACAGGTAAACGTGACCATTTCAGATTTTGAATATGTTAGAAGCCCAAGAAGGAACATTAGAGGAACACGTAAATAATCAGCATCACCAACAACCTCAGCTACAGAGACCTGAACTGAACGAAGCTCCAGGCGCATCAACATCTTCTCAGCCCTCCATAGGTCAGTTTGAGTATATTCGCTACTAAATGAAAATTGCGGTTCAAAACTACTTCCCACTTGGAGTTTATTCTTTGCGCATCCCTTCTTTCTTCCTGTTCTCGTTCCAATGATCAGTTCAATTGACTTTTGCCTTTGGAGCAGTTTTTTCTTGAACAATTCAAGAAAAACAAACTTCACACGAGATCGAAAAAATTTGGAGCCATAGAACAACCGCATAGTACGTGTGCTAGGCTATAAATGAAATGATGGCGTCACATGCTTTCACGTAGATGACGCGAATTTTTTTCGAACTTGAGTTTATCATCAGAGTCCAAAAAAAATTGACAAACAAAAAAAGAACTCAAGATATAAACTGGAATGTTGGTCATAAAGTTTGACACAGCTGTTTGACCGTCATAAACGTAGGACAAATGTCCATGTGAAACTTTCAATTTTACTTATTCGGTTAAACACGAAAACTTAACGTTGATGGGCAGGAAGAAAAGTTTTAATTTGATATTTGTAATCAACTTATGTTAATCTCGAATGAACAACAAGAAAATCCTTATGGAAGCCTGAAATTGATCGAAGATAATCTGCGAAATTCTTAAGAATCAGTTGAATGAACAAGTTTTGCGCAATTTTGTATTTCGGAAATTTAAAAAAAAGGATTTTAGGTGGTAAAAACCTAGCAGTGATTTCGAGAATTGACTAAGCTGCGCCATCAAGAAGTGTATGATTGAATAATTTATTTTTTTGTGTTTCAATATGATTCGTATGGCGGGAAGTTGAAAAAAAAGAAGAAGCCGACAGCAGACAGCTTTTTGCATGTTTTTTCGGTCAAAGGCAAAAGGTGTGAACATGACTGGAAGAAAGAGCAGCCAACCTGTTAACCCATCGACATCTGTCGTGTTTATCTTCCGATAGAATGTCACATCGTTTAGTCCTTCAGTTTTAAAGTCGAACCTCCTTCCTTTAGAAAGCTTTAAAAATATTCTGAAATTATAAAAAATATTAGAACAAATAGAAAGCAGAAGTGTGAAAGACCTTCATTGACCTTAATGTAAGCACACCTAATGTGACTTGATTGGTAAGGATTAAGTACTTGATCGTCTTGAGCAAATATTAAAAATTGTTTAAAATTTACATAAAATCAATTAACAAATTTATCTCAACACAGCTGTTGTTTACGTCAAAAGTTCACGTAAATTTTCATTTTTGTTGTTTGTTAATGCACAATTCGGTTGTAGTTGAGAACGAAACCATTGACTACAATAGAAAGTTTATCATTTTCGTTCAACATTTCATTCCTTCTTAACATCTTCAGCTGCTGGACGGCCTATCTTTGTTTCTCTCTAAAACGTTGATCTTCATAAACAATTCAAATATCCGTTTTTGGACATTCGTCTCTTCTACCTGTCCTGCTTGCAAAAAGCCATCATCCATAAAATTTGACTTGAACTTCACGAATAATTGATTAAGATTTAGGTGAAAGTGAAAACTTTTGGTAGCTTTTACCTCCCACCATCATCCTCTGCCCTCCCACATAATTGACTCTCCATTACATTCTCCACCCTCGTATGATGTCAATTTTGTCTTTCACCTCCTCTCTCTCACTCACTGCTATATATATGGAGCTTTTACTTCAGATAACTGTATGGTATGCCGTTGCTTCGTATGTGACATGCCGATTACAGAGAAGTTTGTAAACCGCGTGCAAGACAGGTTTCATAAATTCATATTTTTTCATTCAAATAATTCTTCAAATGCTCTAGGTCTTATCATTCCGATTGTTTGAGATGTACTGTCTGTAAGGAAATGCTTTCAACCACCTGCTTCCAAAGAGGCGAAGAGTTTTATTGTCGAGATCACTTCTTCAAGTGAATAAATCAGAAATTAAAATGAATAATTAATTTTTAATATCTCAGACTGTTTGGTACAAAATGTTCGCGATGTGGAGATGGTATTGTCCCTGATTCTGTCATTCGCACAGCAGCATGTTTGTTCTTTGTTGTTTATTTCGCATTGTTTTTCTTTTTATTATTTTAGCTCATATTTATCATGTCAAATGTTTCCAATGTGTAATTTGTAAGAGAGAATTGAAAACTGGTGATGAATTCTTCTTGATTCCCGAAGATGGTCGTTTAGTTTGTAAATCCGATTATGAAATGGCTAAGGAAAAACGTAAGTTTTGAACTTTTTAATAGTTTGTTTCGTTTTTTTATTCAAAATTCTCATACGTTCTCATTTGTCTCTCATTTCTCATGACTCTGTTTCACGAAATGATCAGTTAAATCACAAGCACATGCTAAGTCGTGAGATCTCCTCAGTTCGTCATGGCTATTTCTTACCGTAATCGAAGAACTTTCCGAAAAAGAAAAAAAAATTTCAAAGGGAATTTTTCCTCTCCTTGAATAAAACATTTTTTTGCTCTTTTGTGAAATTGAACTCTTATTTCATTGAAAAATTGCAAATTATTTATCAGACATCTGTTATGAAAAATTTCGAGCATAAATTCAAAGTTTATCTTTGAAATTTATAATTTTCAATAAATCAAAAAATTTCTTTGACATTCTTCTTTTATTTCCAATAAATTTTATACCGTTTCCGTTATGAGAGGTAAGGAGAAGCCGTATAACTCTTTCTATAATCAGTCCGTTCAGAAATAGAGAGTTAGAGTATGGGAGATTAAGGCATAGGTGAAGAGAGCCTAAAGACGTGAAAGGAGAGGGAAACAGAGGAGAGGCAGAGATCTTCATTCAACCAAAGCTTAACAGTAAAAGAAACCTGTAAAGTACGAAATGCCCTTCTTACATCATTCGGTTTTGATCTATTTATCAACTCCTTTTCTCAAGTCCATCACGTCCAGTGCAAACTATCCTTTTTGTAGTTTGCATATCAATAATACGCATTTTCATTCTATTTATATGTAATATGACTTGTATATTTCTTTTTCAAATCTTAAAATAGATTGGAAGATCAGAACAATAAGCATAGTACTTACTCAAAGAACAATAACAACAAAATCATAGAAAACTATTAAAAATCAAAGATATTTTATATTATTTCGGGACTCTCCCATCTCCACGTTCTAACTCCGCCTTCAACATCTATATAAGAGAACGATCTCGGTCTTTATGCTAAACGTGTTCACGTAAAATACACGTGAGATAGATACTCCTTTCCTACTTCACATTTTCAAACTTGCTCAACATAGAGAACGGTTGTGTCTGGCTTGTATTCTAGCTCATTGAGTTCAGTTTAAATGTTATGCCTGAGTCAGTGAATCTGCATTTCTATTGCAAGCACAAGACTTTCGCATTTTCACAGTTCCTAAGTTCTGTAGAAATTTAGTGAAAAAGCAAAACGTCGGGATATCTATCCATTCAATTATCTGCCTATGTAATTCCATTCAATTTGATATTTGAGATCTATTAGTCGTGGCAAACGAATTATGTCCTTCCGTACCTGATTACACGTTAAATCCTTCGCTCTTTTCTTTTTTGCAGTTATTACAATCGAACACAAAAAATTCTTTTATTGTTTCGGTTTCAATCATAGTTTCAAGCAGTTCTCAGATATTTTTTGTGTTTCTGTTTGATGCCAGAGAAGTTTTTTTGCAAAATTTTTCCTCAAATTCCGTCATTGAACGACAGAATTTCCCATCAGACAGGAGAATTCGAAGACATTCGTCGATTAAAAAAGATTTTTTCGATGAATTTTAATTCGGTGCCTCTCCCTTCTGTGTTTTAAATTTAATTGTTTCTTTGTTTTATTACGTAATAATACTTCCGATCAATCTATTTGAAGGAAATGATTTGCAAATTGCTCTTCCAACTATTTTGGAAAACGATGATATTTTTTACTCCTTTATCCTTATATGTAATAACTCTTATACAAGTTGGCTTTTGAGAACTGCTGATAGTAATTTAGCCAGCTGCTTTTGGATTGCAATACGAGGAGGAGGGAGGAACATGTCGAGAAACAGAGAAAAAGCTCAAATGAGAGAGAAACAATAGATAAAAAGAGAGAGAGAGAGAGAGAGCATGAACGAGTAACAGTTGGCCATTTACGGGCAGGAGGGAGAGAAGGGGGAGCCCCTTTCAACCATTCTGATTTAGCCTTCATCGACTTCTGCTTCTCTCTTCTACTGTGTTGAAACATTTCAAATGAACCTTATCACTTTTCTTTTTTCTCTCTTTCTGTTCTGCTTCTCAGCAAGCCTATCCAAAGTACTCGTGAATTCTCAGGCTTTCTCGGTTTTATCAAATTATTTCTTAATTAGAAATTCATTATATGTTTTTCCAGCTTCTGACTCTGAAATGGATGGTGGAAATAAGCGACCACGTACGACAATTTCAGCAAAATCTCTCGAAACTCTAAAACAAGTATTACCATTACTGACAGAACTAACATATTCTAATTTCGTTTAGGCTTACCAATTAAGCAGCAAACCTGCCAGACATGTACGTGAGCAATTAGCAGCAGAAACTGGATTAGATATGCGTGTAGTTCAGGTAAATCATATTTCCCATCAATTATCAGCCAAATTACATATGAAACATTCCACTCCCCACAATTTAAATTGAATTTCAATTTGAAATTTCGTGCGAACTCTCAAGTATATTCTTCCGGTGGCATTATGTTTCCAATCATTTTTTTTTCAAAGAGACAAATGACCACGAGCATAAGGTTCTGTACCTTCAACCAGGGGGGGGAGGGGGGAAGCGAGATCATTTACGGTATCCATGACAACAGGCTCCATAAGCGGATAAGCTTATAGACTCCGGAAACTTCATAATCAGGGTCGGGGTAATCTGATGTAATACGATCTCTTATCCTTTATAATTTGGACAAAATGTCAATGAAATAGTACGAAAATACAATTTTTCTAAGAAATTTGTCCATTTTTCCATATCAAAGAGATCACTAAACACAATTTTATTTGCCGTTTAAGGTTTGGTTTCAAAATCGTCGAGCAAAAGAGAAACGTTTGAAAAAAGATGCTGGTAGACGTTGGAACCAAAATATTAAAGGAGATAGTGATAGCAATTCACCTACGGGTAGTTTAAATGGTCAAAGTCCCCAATACTCAACAGGTAATACAAGTTTTCTATTAACAGAACTCATTTTCTCTTGTTTTGAAGGATATATTGAGCAGAGCATAGAATCCGATCACCAGCCTTCTGAAATGACTTATAATGGTTTGTTTATTTCCTCATTTATTTACAACCGCCCTAGCCTATCATTAAAATTGGGGACAAAATGTTTACGTCAAATATCACGTGAAATAGTTTTGGCGGCAATTTCGAATTTTCATGTGATGCTATTGCAGTTCCTGAGCTTGATAACTATCCCGTTATGCCAAATCGTCCCGATATTAACATGACTCCAGCTGGCAATCTTGTAGGAATGGAAAGTATGCCGGTAAGTATATGCTTGTAGTAGCTTTGTATTCAAAACCGACTCTTATATGTATATAATTTCAATGAATTGAATTATTGCAGTTTCAAATGGTACCACATATGAACCCGGAGGTTTCAATTTATCTGCCTATGTCTTCATCCATCGGTGCTCCGCCAGCATTGAATCCACTTGCAATGGGACCAATGATGCATCACTATATGGCTTAATTTTATCAAGCACTTCATCTAACTATGCGTATAAACAGGCAAAACATAACATCTTCTTGTATTCTAGAAGATTTTAAACAGAAAAAGAAGAATTTCACTTGCTAGCATCTCATCCTCTCCCCCCCACTACATTTTGCTTCCATCTGAGACTACATTTGTAGCATCAGAGATTAAAAGCTTTTTTTCTATAGTTCGTATTCTACAGCTCACTATCCACTTATCGATTTTGTTACAGTCCCTCAGGCTATTCTTAATTGAACGATGTTCTTTGATAAACAGCTTTTCTCCTTCTACTTGTTCCCAGCTGTCACCTTATGATCTCAGCTCAAAAGCATCTTCGAAACTTTACATACAAAATTTTTTGGAATACAAAGGTCTTTATTTCACTACGTGATCTCCGCAATACAACAAGTTGTTTTTTAAATGAATAAATTTTATTAAAAATCGTATTTACAAACTCATCTGAATGAACAGATTAACTAAGGTTCTTAAAATCGTTTCTGAACCACAAAAAAACTTTTCTCAAAATTTGAGAAAAAATGAATGAAAATCGAACAGTGGCACACATGGATAGCATTGTTTGAGCATACAAATTGATGAACAGGCACATTAAATAAGGAGAAGAACTTTTTTCTTCTTAAGCTTTTGAGTTAGCTGCTGGATGTCGGAGGGCGTTTGGTCGACAACATTGGCGACGTGGACTAAAAGCAAAAAGAAAAGCAAATTACCCTGATTACGATAAAATAAGAAAACGTAGAGAAAATTGTTCATAAACATATGTTGTTATGAAGTAATAGGAAAAACACACGGTTAAGGTCAAGCTTTTGATGATGAGGCTAAGCCGAAGGGCATTTTAGCTGTATTACTGGGTGAGATGAAGCCTGTGTATCAGTTATGTAACATTTATAAAAAAAAACAAAGCGAAAAACACACGGACAGCCTTTTCGGCAGACTTCAAGTATTACCTCAAGTAATTCAACAAAAACAAGTAAAATGAGAAGAAAAATCTTAACAATCGGCATACGGCAAGTCCTCAACCAAAAGCTTGACCGGCTCCGGTGGATGACGTGACTGAAAAAGAAAAAACTCAAAAAGAACTCTAATCTACCGGCAAAATTGTTAAAGGAATTGAAGAGTTAGAAGAACAACCCCTCTTTCTCACGAGCAGATCACCAAGAAAATCGATGCAACTGCTCTTTTTTTAAATTTTTATTAAAATTTGTATTTACAAACTGATCTAAAAAACAGATAAGCCGAGGATCGTAAAAGTGCTTTTGGAGCAAGAAACAGAAAACTTCTCTGCTACAGAACAACAGTGGCACACATGGATAGCAGTTGTTTGAGCATATTAGCGAATAGAAGGTTGAAAAGCGAAACTTTCAGACTTTTTGCGGGGTCGTTGAAGACGTCGTGTGTCGGTATCCTCCTCCGTTGGTATCTGAGGGTAGAGATGTGGTCATCATCTTCTTATCCAAATCTGGGCTTATGGCTTCCTCATTAGTGAAGGACTAAAATACAAATGTTTGTTAATAACCTATCAAACGTCAAGTAGAGAATATGACAGAGGAGGAAGATGTGAGTTGGAAACAGAAAAGCTTCATGCAAAGAGGGAGAATAACAAAGGTGAAACAGAGGTGCTGTCAATGAAGTGAAAACATATTTTTTCTCCTAAACTCCCTTTGTGTAAAATGTTCCACATACCTTGTAAGGAAGGGCACCGTTGATTTTGTTGTTTTCTGGACTACTTCTACTGTCTACTGGCTTCTTCTCATCCATTTGACTAATGTAGTTAAGTTAACTATGAATGATATGATTGAATACCTGTGATGACTAAATGTTGATTTTGGTCTGTCCCATGGTTCTGGCGCATACTGAGATTGGTAGTAGTATCGTGGCATGGGAGGATATCCTTCTTCAACCTTCAAAATCATATAAATAGGTTCTCAATTATATGATTAGCTATGCAAAATATACAACGAACAATTTGCTATATTCGGTAAGTTCAAAAGGAATTGAGAAAATCTGTATGGCATCCTCTTCCTTTGAAGTTCTTCCGAAACAACACCAACTCACTCACATTATTACACAACATTCCAAATAATATAATAATATTGATTCAATATTTACATATTTTGACTTGCTCCATCTTAATTCCACGTCAACAATCACATTGCCTTCCATAACACGTGGACTCGACATCATTTTCAAAAATTTCGTCGCTTCAATTGGTTGCATTTTTCGATTTCCTAATCTCTCCCAGTATATCCTTACACCCCACGCCTTTTCTTAACGATTTTTTTAAAAACATACTTGACGTAGGATTGATCTTTTTCTCCGGCTTCTTCCAGTTCTACCGTTTACAGCACGAAGAATGAGAAATCCTATAAACATGCCAGAATGTAAATACAAATTAAACAAAACAATCTGACCGATAACACCAATAAGGGAAATAGCCACAAGTCCTAGTGTCATATTCCTTAAGTCCATTATATAATCTGTCATTCTGTGCATATCATCTGCCACCTGAGAGCATATAACAAGGCTTAATGACCGTTCAGGATGGAATTCAGAAAACCTGCATCATCTTAGGTATTCCATTGACGATAGATCTTATATCAACCAGAGAATGTTGATCCATCATGTTTAATTCTTGGGGATGCTGTTGATACATGGATGACGTTCCGCCCATATTAGAAAGGCTCGTTCGTCAGCAAGAAGATTTGGAAAAAAGGATTCCTTATCGATTTCTCCCTCTAAGTATATTAACTGTTAAAATATGAAACTGTAGAAGCGTAGGCTCAAAAACGTTTTAAACAAAGAAAAACAAAGGAAAAGGCAAGAAAGTTGTTTTGAGAAATGAAAAGACAGACAGATTGGCACATTTGATCAGATTTTAATCGATTAATAATTGTGGAAGAGGAATCGGAGTACAAAAGAAAATGTAAAATGAAAGTACAATCATTGTTTTATGAGGTAAAAGGAAGATGGGAAAACAGCTAATGATAAGATAAGGTATGACCTTTAGGTTAATTAGAACATTTAAGCTTTTTCAAATAAGCTTGGCTTCTACAAAGATATGGCTTTTAAGGTATTATTTGACTGCGAAAATCAAAATAAATATATTTGTTATGTACATCTATTACCCATATCCTATAATTTAACAATTAAATATTCCTAATTTCTATTAGATGAATTGGATGGTGAGAGAGCTTTTGATAAAATTTAAGAAATTGAGAGAAAGAACATGACAACTGAGGAATTGACATGACTGATGACCACCCTGAGGGGAAGAAATGCTCATGAGGAGTATCGTAAAATGAACATTTGCCAATCAGAAAAAAAATTTAAAAAACTAATTTTGAAATGTTTTTTTATGATTTGAGTTATTGAAAGACAAACGATCACGCTCTCACGTGAGAAGAAACATGAAAATGTTCAAGATCGACTTTGAGAACCATTAATTAGGAAAAAACGATTGAGATCATCGCGAATACATTATGGGGCGTGATGAATAGGCATATAACTCCGCTAATGACCGTTATTATTAGCTTTATTTGGGAAGTAAATAAACAAACAAAATGTTTGAAGACATGGGTTGGCATGTGATTGACGGCCCTTCCTAGCTGATTCTTCACTTAGCCAGCCTGAAGGTTACGTCATTTGTCGTTCTTAAGGTACATATAGTTAAGTACATAACGGCCTTATGTTCCAAAAGTGTTCAGGGGATTAGTCTTACTGAGGGAGGAAGGTAAGAGAGCGGTTGCGTATAATGGCAGCAGGAGTCTCATTCGAGAGAATAAAATTCAGATGTAGAGATCGAGGAAAAGATATACAGGAGAATGAAACGAAAGATAAATGTATGGTAGGTGTGAATGAGAGAGAATGAGAGAGAGAGAGAGAGA